TTAAAATAAAAATAACTAAAATGCCGGTGTTTTATTAAATCAAAACCATAACGGAGAGCACAACAAAAAACACGTCTGTTCGTTTCAAGTGGAGACTGGAATTTTTATGTGGTCGAAAATACGGAAATAAATTTTTATATTGTTGTATATATATATGTCGGAGAGGAAGTACTGTAGCATCCCGATAGGCATGAGACTTTAAGGTGTGACAATGGGATGTGCTGGTAGATACTAGTTCTGATAGAATGGGGACACAGTTTGCGAACTGAGGCTGTGTGTGGCTTCGTATGCGTTGCTAGACCTGGTCTCTCTCTTGTGGCTGTCCTGTGTTTCCGGCGTGACGTGAGTTGGTCACGTGTGCGTATTTAAGAGAATAATGAGCAAAGGCAACGAAGACGCGCTGCATTCGCAAGGACTGATTATGGAACACCAGAATCCGTACGACTAAGCGATCAATAATGACGACCCGCAGGGAGATGACATTAATTCTCCGACATCAGAAGTGGGATTCGGCCCTAACCAAACTTCTTCAAGGAATATCTTCGCGTTGTTAGAGCAGCAAAACCGGAATTTTCTTGAACTGGTTAAGAGGCTACAGATGCCCGCGAGCGAGTTACAACAGACTAGCGAGATTTCCTTGCCGAAATATAATCCGGTCATTGCTGGGGTGGATAGGGTCGACATCATTTTACGAGCAAAACCGTTAAGTGACAGCGCTCTTTCTTGGGCACATGGCTAATTTCGACCGGCGTTTGCAACGAATGATACACACAACGCATGTAAACAATCGACGTGAACTGCAAGCGGAGCTGCAAGTATTCTCAGCGCTGAAAAAGCGTCCTATTACATCAAACTGGGAACTAGAGACCGAGCGTGCTAAAACTGTGGAACTTAAATGTTATCAGTGTGGAAAGCCAGGTCATAAAAAAAAAAGACTGTAGATCTGGAATGAATTTGCAGGGTTCAGCAACTAGAAAGAAGTGGCGTTCAGGGAAGGGCAAACGTAACTTGCTACAGATGTCAGAAGCCGGGACATATTACAAAAAAAAAGTGCAGAATACCGGATTGGGAGTAAGATCGGAAAAAAAAGTGGAGCTGTCCGCTATAGTGGAGCCTCAATCGAGTATGCTGGTCAATGGTGAGAGATTTCCGATTACATTTGATTCTGAGTGCTCATTAATTAAAGAAAGCGTTTCTAATAAGTTAGCGATATCTCGTTAAAGGGAATAGGTAATGCCAATACTTACAGTACTGTACCAGTTAAATCAAACATCATGATTAATGGTAATTCTTTGGTTGTTTTGTTTCATATAGTACCAGACGAATGTATTAAAAATAATATTGTAATTGACAGAGAAATATTGGCTCAAGGCCTTTAAGTGGATGTTTCCTACGATAACTTTAAGATTGTTCAAACTAAAGTTGTGAACGTTTGTGAAACCGTTCAACCTACTTTGATAACATTGAAACTGATAACATTGAAACTGAAATTGACAAGATTAAATTAAGGGAGTTGGCCGCTAAGAACATGAAAGAGGTCGCTAGATATGAGAAGACAAAATTTGATAAATATGTGGCTAAGGTAATTAGGTTCTGTGTGGGTGACTTTGTGTTGCTTAAAAACAGTGAGAGACAGCAAACGAAATTAGATCCAAAGTTCAGAGGCCGTTTTTTTGTGGTCGAGGTATTGGACGGAGACCGATACGTTTTGAAGTCTGCACAGAACAATAGACGTTACAAGTATCCACACGAAAGTTTGCGTAAGTAAACGGATGTGCAAATTCCAGAAGAGCTTGATATAAATTATAAAGAACAAAGTCTGTTGGAAATGTCTGTTGATACAGAAGAGTGCTCGTGAAGTCATGTGATTGACGATGGACGAGGGTTGCTTTGGAAATGTGGTTGATGAATTCGTGAAGCCAAGTATTGGGCGATGGACGAGCAATGTGGTTGATGAATTCGTGAAGCCAAGTATTGGGCGATGGACGAGCAATGTGGTTGATGAATTCGTGAAGCCAAGTGTTGGGCAATGGACGAGCAATGGGTTGACGAATTCGTGAAGCCAAGTGTTGGGCAATGGACGAGCAATGGGTTGATGAATTCGTGAAGCCAAGTGTTTGGCGATGGACGAGCAATGTGGTTGATGAATTCTTGTAGTCAATGTGTTGGGCGATGGACGAGCAATGTGGTTGATGAATTCGTGAAGCCAAGTATTGGGCAATGAACAAGCAATGTGGCTGATGAATTCGTGAAGCCAAGTATTGGGCGATGGACGCGCAATGTGGTTGATGAATTCGTGAAGCGAAGTGTTGGGCGATGGACTAGCAATGTGGTTGATGAATTCGTGAAGCCAAGTGTTGGGCGATGGACGAGCAATGTGGTTGATGAATTCGTGAAGCCAAGTGTTGGGCGATGAATTCAAAAGTTGGCCAAGAAAAGCCTAGTTATGTATCTTGGATTTTTTGAATTGATGGTTTGAACTGATTTATGTATAATATGAAAATGTTTAAATGATCTCTTGCTTGGAAATGTAAATGAAAAAGAAAATTATAAGAGAATATAACCTAACATATGTTAAAATAACCTACGACATGTTAAAAATAGAAGTAAAGTTTTGTTATGGAATATTATATGAAGTTGAGTTAAGTTTTTCTGAAGTATTCAATGAAATTATAAAGTTGGAATGAAAGACACGAGGACGTGTATATGTCAGGATGGTCGTGTCGGAGAGGAAGTACTGTAGCATCCCGATAGGCATGAGACTTTAAGGTGTGACCATGGGATGTGCTGGTAGATACCAGTTCTGGTAGCATGGGGACTCAGTTTGCGAACTGAGGCTGTGTGTGGCTTCGTTTTCCGCAGATGTTTGCTAATAATAGGTCCAACTACATCAAACATCAAAAACTCTGTCTGAACTATTTCGTGAAAGGGGATCAATTATAATTGTCGAGTCAATATAATTGATTCACTTGTAAGGGTCGGCACATTCCTCCAGCTGAAACTTCCCCCTGCAATATGCTATTTTGATGCAAACACACAAGCTGCGCTCCTTGGCATGCACGAAATTCATCCTTGAAAGACTGTTCAATTGCATCAAGCTTTCCATCCATCCAGCTAGTTCAGCCAAATTTGCCCAAAAAGACTGAGAATGCATATAAAAACCTCTACCTTGTCCAATCTGGTAGACAATTTGCCTTTGCATCTGATTCCACACAGTATTTTGAGGGTCCTACTACCTTCGGTTGGATCCCTACTGGCCCAGTCCACAATGATTTCGGTCAGCCCACAACCACTATTAAATGGTCTAACAACGTTTTGGGAAGTGTAAGATCTGCCAACTGGCAAAGAGTTAGACGCCCTGGTGAAAATAAATTTATTTGTACCACCAAAAGGGATAAGACAGGCAGATATATAGTTACGTTACCCTTCTAAAATCTTGATCACGTCAACTTGGGTCATTCGAGGTTCATTGCACTTGCTAAGTTTTTGAGAAACAAAAGTCGTTTAATGAGAAATCTTTCACTCAAAGAGCATTACAACTCAGTGATAAGGACTACCTGGACTTGGATCATATGAAACAAATCCCTCCTAGAACCGATTTCAATAGACAGTGCCATCACAAAACTTCGCGTTGTGTTGAACGCATTCTGCCCTTCCTCAAATACCGAAAGTATGTACGATGTCCTACACACAGAATTTGTTCTTCTATCCAATTTAATTATCCACATCTTGAAGTGCGTTCTTCTGCCATTTTTTCAACACCGATATTATTAAAACGTATCAACAAAACCCTGTTGACTCAAAGCACAAATCATTTCAAAAAATCCTCTACCGGGATAGTGATGACGATCTCTGTGAATATGTGCTCAACACAGTCACCTTCGTTGTCAACTGCGCTTTAATTCCTAGAGATTCGGGTCCTGCAGCAACTGACGTTCGCCCACAATACTCATTGGCGAGCGACTACGGAGTGATCTTCCAAGAGAACATCTACTCGAGCCTACTGAACTACTGAAAGCACTATCACACGTCTCCTCCTTCGCTTTACGCATCGCATATCCCTCCATGGTGAACACTAGATGATGATATGCCTAATACGGTGCAAGTATCACTGGATATCAAAACGGCGAACGAGCAAAGTTCTCCCGTCCGTTCAGGCATGCAGGCGTTGATTTTACTGGGACTTTCGACATCACAAAATACACAGCTTGAGCATGCTTCATTACCAAAGGCTAGGTCTGCGACTTTCTATGCTTCAGCCCATGAGCCATACATTTAAAAGCCACTTCCGACTGAAAAATTCCTTGTCGCTTTCGCTCAATTTGTTTCTCGGCGAGGGTGCCGCCATCAAATGTACTCTGACAACGGCAATATGTTCGTTGGAGCTTCCAAAGCTTTATCGCATGACTTTGTTAAGCCCGCGAAAATTTGTATTAATTCAGCTTATAGCCATCAAAATTTGTTCTGGCGCTTCTACCCTCCTAGCGACCCTCACGTGAGTGGCTTATGGAAAGTGGGTGTAAAGAGTTTCAAAACAGGAAACGGTACAAAATCTTTGGAGATTCGAGCGGTATTTCACCCGTGAAGTCCGACGAGTCGCATCAATGTAGCCTTGGCAACGGCCCCGGGCTTTCTGTAACCCTCATCTGTGTAGAAGGTGTTTGTACTGCCTATTTCAGCACAAAGAGGCTCAAGGATACGATAATTGAAGTTATGCTCCAGACGGAGATTCAACTTCAAATTTGTACCCCTACAAAACAAATCGAGGAGAAAATTGTCACTGCAGCCTGTTAGGAAGCTAAGAAATAATGTGGATATACGCCTTAACATATAACAGGGACTCAAAATTTTCCAGACGTATATACCGAAATTTTCTATTGAATCGGTATTGTTAATGTCATTCGTAAGTTTTTCAATTTGTTTTCATTTATATCTTAAAGGGTCTCAGATCACACTTTCAAAATAGCAATAAAAGTTCCAATATTTCAAATGAATCTCACCTCTAACACTCGTATAATACGAATAAGGTCTTCGCTTTTCCATCGGTATAACATACATTATCTGCGCAGGATGTCCTTTTTATATATATAAATTGCTGAAAGAAAATTTTAAACAATATAGAATACATTAATAAAGCCGTTTTGAGCCGATCCATGGAGTCTGTCAGTCTGACAGTGCTGTTTGATAATATATTTAATAGCTGAATCCTTTCAAAGGCAATAACTACTAATAACATTGTCGAGATTGTGCAAGCTGATCATTAAAAAAAATTAGGTAGTAGGATACATACGTTGTACAACCATAAGGTTTATTAGCCTAATTAATCTGTGAATGCACTCAATAGTGTAACAGGTAATGTGTTAATGTGTTACCCAGTAATGTGTAAGAGTTACTATAGGTGTCTCAGCTGCTAGTTAGAATATTAATTAATGATCTTATCTATCACTAGCTGACATTGTTAAAAAGAGGAAAGCGTCACTTCAGAGTAGAGTTGATTGAACATCGATGCGAGTGAATGTTTCCAAAATTAAATTATGAAATTATGAAATGTACATACATAAAAAAAATAAAAATACTATTACAATCTCAGAAGTGGGATATTAACATGGAAACGAGATATATTAACATTAAATATAAAAAGTAGCTGGGAGTATTGGATGTCTCCACAACAGGCTCCAAGGCCGAGCTAATACCGCATGCTGGACGAATGCACGTATAAAATAAATGTTCTCAAAAAGCTTTGAAAATGATTTTGAAACTGATCAGACAGTAAATAAACATCTTTCATACAAACGTTTTCTTCCAATTTACCACTGTTGCGATTGGAATTTCCCAAATCGTTGAAACACGTATTCACTAAGATTTTATGTAGAGCTTTGAAAATAATTTTAAAGCAAATCGGAAAAAAATTAGAACATCACCAAAAAATTCTTGGAATGACATTTTTTACGGAGGATTCTTTGATTCTGCGAAAAATGAAAAACAGGTCTCAAATAATTTTTCTTATGGATCCTTGGAAATGAATTTAAGCGCGAAACGTCACCCGCCAAATCTTTGACACCCATTTCCACCAAGAAGGGATAGATATTTCAAAAAGTGCGAAACTCCCCTTAAATGAATTTCAGCAAAGATCTTTGAAATGTAGTTTGAGGCCGATCCGATGGTTAACAAAAAGTTTCATACCAACGTTGTTCGCTAATTTACCACTGATGTGGTATGAGAATGTTTTGATTCAGCGAAAAATGTGAAACACGTCTTAAATGATTTTTCATATAGATCCGTGAAAATGAATTTGAGCGCGAAACGTCATCCACCAAATCTTAAGCCCCCATATCCACCAAGGAGGAATACAATTTTGGAAAAGTGTGAAACACATACAAATGAATTTGAACAAAGAATTTTATAATTGAATTTGAGGCCGATCGGATGGTAAGCAAAAAAGTTTCATTCAAACGTTTTTCGCGATTTTTCCATACCTGCGGGTGGAATTTCCCTAAATCCGTCTTAACGCGCACCTTCATCACATAAGGTAACTACAGCTTCCTAGCTCTTACGGTTTTGGCTGTGCGTTGATCAACAATCAGTCAGTCAGTCAGGACAAACAGTTTTATATATAGATATACGGGTTTAACAGGTAGAAGTTTTTATTATTTATTTAAATATAAATTAAAGTCCATATTTGACATAAATTATTTTATTTTATATTAATATTCATATGTGAATACAAATTTGGGATAGGTCACGTTCAGCGCTAGAAAACTAACAAAATTGATTTCATTGGCAGCAAAAGCCAGTTCACATATGTTCATATTTTGATGTACTCATGCATAATTTACACATACAAGTGGTGCTTGCACGCCATTGGCTGAGACAAGAACTTCCCTCCAGAATACAAAAGTATAATCGATCCGATGTAAAACTTATCAAAAGTATCTAAGGGAATGTACCATTCATATTAAGCACACATATCATTGATTAGGCAAAAGCCAAATGCGTCGATCGTTAGAACAAAATTTGTTCACTCAATGTACTTCGAGAACGAAACGACGCAAAGCACCATCAACTAGCTTTGCTAAAGGCAGGCTGGCGACTACCTTCATTGCTCGTGTCAGCATCAACAATCGCAACTTCGGCGTTTGTTCGTCTGACTTATGGGGAGCGAAGAGGCAGTCGGATGATGTTTCGTTTAAAGTTGGCAAAGTTGGGCGGTACTCATCTTAGTGTTTATTTTGACTTTATTAAAGGCAAACTGGATGAACATTTACGTCTTCAGGCCAGATTTTAATGGTTTAATGACAGTAAAGATGCAACGAGCATGGCGGATCTGGTGGAAAAGGAGGCGAAACTAAAACTGGAAGTAACTAAAACTGTGCTATACTAAAGGACAAATTGTTTAATAGTAAATTTTAAGAATATGGATTGTTAGGCTTTAAATTGTTAGAAAAAGAACGAATAAATGCAGAAACAATTAAAACAATTTTAGGTGATAATTTTGAAAAGAACATGTCGCTTATTAAGCATTTTACACACAGTCTCATTAGAAAGAGTGTAAGTATAACATTGGAGAACAATAAAAACGTGATCATAGAGATAGGTTCATATAGTTTATCGAATGAATATATGTAAAGGCGAGAAGACCTTTTGGGTAAATTGATGGAGCTTAAAAGTCAAATTCTACATCAAATAATACAAGTAAAATATTTCGATTTTTGCAAGAGTTGCTTTATTTATTACACACAAAAAAGTGATACATACTTTTTGTTATATGGTTAAATTCCAAATTAATGTAACCAAACTTAACAAAGACAAAAAACTCAAAATGTATCAATTCCTGTGATGCCAGATCGCCACAGTACCCCATTCTAGTTGTGAAACGAACGGGGAGTCTAATTGTGTGGCGAGGGCTTGTGGATTGTTGAAGCAGTATAGGTGTGGTGTCCTTGGATGCGTCTTGTTGTTGACCTAAACGATGTTGCTTCTGAGTTGGTTTTCGTTGATTGTTGCTGTTTTCCTGAAAGCATGTTTGAGGCGATCACTTGGTACTTTGGTATCGTGACCATTGATAAGTATGTTGGAAAAATTGGTTTATTTTGATTTTACTTCAAATGTTCCGTCCTAGGGTGTTTGAAGCCATGCACGATATGAATCAGCTAATTGCATATTATTTTAATGAGTCGTGGTAGGAAGTGTGAATATCGCGCATCATCTCTTGTAGATGCTTGGCGAAATCAGTTTGTGGTTGATATTGACTGGAGTTGTTGGAAAATGTTCCAGGAACACGAAGAGTTGTACCATAAACAAGCTGTGCTGCTGTTGTTTGGATGTCGGGCTTATATGCTGAGCTTTGGCCGAGGAGAATCTTTAGCAATTTGGATGGCCAGTCGATCCTGTTGTGACAAATTATAGCTAAATAACCTTGATTCAAATTGTCTGCCAATATCTTAATTGAAGCAATGGTCCAATGACGTCTACATTGATGTGTTCAAATCTGCGGGAAGGAGTGGTGAATGAACGTGGCGCGTAACTTTCGATTTTTGGCAAAATGATTTTTTAACAAAATATCCTTATGCATACAGGGCAAAGCGAAGCGCTGTTTAATGAGTTTAATTGTTTAACCAACTCCTCCATGGGCAATGCCATGTATCTTGCTGATAATATTTTTGCGATGTCACTGCGGAATGAATGGTCGCATTGTGGAAGTAGAAAAAACGCATACGATTGGAGTACTTGATTGCGGTAAGTTTATAGATTTGATTTGAAGTGTAGTGGTGCTGTCGTTAAGTTGCTTTTTTAGCTCGGGACAACTTGCTTGCGAAACAGGAATCTTATTATATGTTGGCTTCAATAGTTTCGATTCGAGAGGGTGTTCAGTACTAATGTTATCGACACCTGCTAAATGCAGAATAGATGTCATGAACTGTCCGATAAAAGCTAGCTGACGAAGCTGCCGTGGAGAAGCTTTTTTAGACTTTTGAGTAAAAGCGTATACCAATGGTTTATGGTCAGTGTGGACTTCAATCATTTTACCTTCGAGGTAAAAGGTAAATTGCTAGAAGCTCTCGATCATAGATACTGTAATTGCGCTGTGCGTCAGTAAGTTTAACACTAAAAAATCCCATTAGCTGAAGCTCATTGTTGACGATCTGGTGCAGTACAGCGCCAACGGCTGTATCGAAAGCGTCCGTGCTGACGATAAGTGAGCATCTGGAGCAGGATGTACCAAAAGTCTTGCTGCAGCTAGAGAACGCTTGCATTCCTCTAAATTTTTTAGCGTATCACCTGTCCAAGTTATTGTGATTGCGACTGTGGGCAAGGAATATTCGATGATGGTTTTAATTTTGTCTGGTAATGGTTTGATGCCAAGAAACTCGAATGATGATGGAAAACGTCGAGGTTTTTTAGAAACTTGCCGAAGATGAATTTGGTGTTGCTCCATATTGTCTGATGCACCGACGATTTCATCTATATAGACGAAAACAAAGTCTAAGTCCCTCAGTGCGGTATGCATGTACCTTTGGAAGGTTTGTGCAGCGTTGTGCAATCAAAATGTCATGGTTCTAAAATCAAATAATCCAAATGGTGTGGTTATTGCAGTCTTTGGGACGTCGCCTGGTTCTATGAGGATCTGGTGATATACACGGTTAAGATCAATTTTTTAGAATATTTTCTTGCATTGAATAATATGTGTACAGTCTTGTATGTGTGGAAGTGGATAAACATCCGAAACAGTTTGTGCGTTGGGAGCGCGGGTCATGCGAAACGGCGACGCGTATGCACTTTTTGATGGTCGGCACACACCTATTTTAAGCAAAAACTCGAATTCCATTTTGGCAGCCTTAAATTTGTCTAAATGGAGTTGACGGGGTCTTGTAAATGTTGGCGGGCCTTTTGTCTCAATGCATTGAGTTACACTAGATATTGTGTGCTTCGGTGCTAAGACATTGAGTTGTGTGATGTCCTTGAATTCCTCCAGCAGTCGGGCGAGTTCATAGGATGCGTAAAACGTTTTTAATGTTAAAGAAGATCAGCAGACACCTTGACGTGCTATCAAAGTTTGAGCGTCGATTAACTTAC